GTGTTCCCTTCTCCTAGCCCTAGTTGTCCTGTCCTCCCCAATCCCTCCTTCCCTTTCACTTTGTTGCGGTCCAACCCTAGACTGGATCGTAACAATACCAAAACATTTTGGACAATTCTATGTGTCCAACATTGTAGGAATAGTTTGTGGAAAGCCCTTTTCTGTTCCAGCATGACTGTGCCCCAGTGCACAAAGCAAGGTTCATAAAGACATTGTTAGGTGAGACACAGAGCCCTGATCCCAACCTCATGAAAAACCTTTGGGATGAACTAGAACGGAGATTGTGAGCCAGGCCTTCACGTGCAACATTGGTACCTGACCTCACAAATGTTCTTCTTGATGAATGGGCAAAAAATCCTGCAGACATACTCTTGTGTAAACTTGTGGATAACCCTCTCAGAAGAGTGGCAGCTGTTATAGCTGCAAAGGGGGGTACCGACTCTTTATTGATGCCTATGGTTTTAGAATGGGATGTCATATAAGTTCCTGTAGGTGTAATGGCCAGGTGTCCCAATACTTTTGTTCATATACAGTAGTGTATGTCACAACTAAGACTCAGAGCATCCAGGTAAAAACACATTTTTTGGCTTTACCATTTCCAGGTGATCCATCCAGTATTTCTAGAAACTGTAGAGGTTGGTTAAAGTGTGAGGAGGATGGCCAGACCAAATAACAGAGCTGCCTGCGGAATACAATGCTGTCAAGCCCTAAATCTAGTTGGGGGGTTCGGGGGGAATGAGGATTAGATGTGGGGCAGGGATGACTGGAATGCCTGGGGAATATGTCCCCAATGTCCTGACAGCATCTTTTCTAGTTCACTAAATTGTCTGACTATAGCAACTATTTTGGAAACAAAAATGAACTTCTCCACGGGGAGAGCGCATTGCAGTCGAATTACTGGATCTAACTCTCACACAGAAATTTATGTACAAGCACTTAATAGGCCAGACTGAGCAAAAATATGAGAATGAATGAAGTGTGGCTGCTGAAGAAAAGCTGAAGGCAAGGATATCATTTGCGCTGAGTTATTAGTGACGATAAAATGTGATTTACTTAAATGAGCAGGAAGTTGACAATATGCCCAATATAATCTACTTTGTATAATATAGATTCCCTTAATGTATGCACTTCTTGTAGACTGTTCAGTATATCACAGTTTCCTGTGACAGACTCTGTTGTATTCGTGTATTTCACGATAAGTGCTTTGTGTGCCATTTGGCAGTTATACTCATGCTTTATTTGTTCAAAGTTTTTTCCAATTCCTTGTCCCTTAGATTTATTGAATGTTTTGTTTTTATCTGCCCAGTGCTGTATGTACCTTAACAGCTTTGCTAGCTATAATCTGAGGTTGCAGTAACATTTAATTGAATACTGTTTTGCTTGCATTGCAGCTGCGTGTGAATGCAGTGAAGTATCATAACTTCTTGTCGGAGAGGGCAGTGCAGTTTCGCGCCATCCAGCGGCGGCTGCTGACCCGCTTTAAAGACAAGACCCCGGCTCCAATGCAGAACCTGGATACCTTGATGGAGGGAACCTACAGACAAGTAAGGGTTTACTACTGTACATATGGGCGTGTAGCCACAGGGGCACAGTACAGGGAAAGGCTTCACACAATGACAAAGTACCAAACTACATCACAGGTGTCTCTCTTCTGTTTCTTTATCTTAATATCTCCTATCTTCTAACATTGCATAGCTATACATTTTTATCAAGTCTTGACACAATGATATACATAATGAATTCTTACGAAATAGTATGGTGTTTAGTTGTTACAGGAAGTATTGTCTAAGGTAACATCAGTTACTTGCTACAGTACAACAGTTTTTAGTTGTATCTGAAATCAAGTATTCTGTGTGTGTGTGTGTCTGTCTACATCTGAGTAAGTCTCAAAAGTATAGCAATGACCACCTTTAACCATTTGTACTGTGAGATTAGTCGTCAGGCAAGATGTTTTGAAGGCAAAGAATTGCTATACTCCAAGTGAAAGAGCTAAGAGTTAAAAATGCTTTGCTATACAGACGCTCCTCTTCTTACGAGTGAGATACGTTCCGAACGGTCGTTTGTAACTTGAAATGTTCGTAAGTCGTTATTCAACATCATTTTAAGGGTATATGCAAGTGCAAAGAACTAGAATGCTGGGAGTATGCATGCTACGCTGCTGTGCGGCGGGAGTAGCGTACTAGGCGGAATTGGCGCACAGAAAAAAAATCATTGATGTTGTGGACAGGAAATGGGAGCCCAATGAACACAATTTGGACTTACAGACCTCTTCGTTCGTATGTCTGAAAGTTCGTAAGTAGAGGAGTGTCTGTACTGTATATAAAGAATAAGAAATTATTTTTTTGTGTTTTTTATTGTGCAGAAAGAACATATCAGTGTAGTCATGGAAATAAGGGAAATGTGAGGATTAAAGTTTGCACCTGTCCCGCATATTGTGCGTTTGCTCCATAATAAAGAATGCAAACAAATTAAACGAATGTATTTTTGTATAGCGCGTTATCACAACATTACATTGTCTCAGAGCGCTTTACAGCATTCCCACCCAAAGCCCCCATTGAGTAAGCCATAGGCGAGAGTGGCAAGGAAAAACTCCCTAGATGGAAGAAACCTTGGGAGGGACCAGACTCAAAGGGGTAGCCCATCCTCCAGGGGCTGGCAGGGAGAATCAAATTAGAAAGATGGCAAGTGCCAAGTCACACTGTCTAAGTCATAAGATTTGAGACACAACCGGGGAGCAGGAAGGTGATGACAAGCCGGTGCCAACGCTCCTTCGGATCGCCAGGCAACTGGTAGTAAGGCAGCGGGTCATACATGGAAGAATGGCAAGCTGGATGCAAGGACGTCATGGGTAGTGGCAACGTCACATGTAGCAGGGTGTGCAGGATATCTTGATAGATTGAGGTCTCCAGGCAGCACACCCCAGGAGGAGTAGGGGAAATAAAATGTGCAATTAGTCAAAGTAGGGGAGACTATAGGCAGTGCTAACAGTTAGGTGAGGGCAATATGAAATGCAGTGTGCAAGCTCTGGCAGATATGGTTATGGCAGCATAAGTAGGAGGGAGAGGCAAGTGGGAATGCAGGCATGGCGAGTCCCTGAAATGTCAGCACTCCAATTCCACAAGGGATTGTGAAGCTAGAGTGACAGCACTGACAGTTCAGTTTATCCAAAGCCAATGGCACCGATCCCCACCCAGCTCTACACCTCACACTATAGGTCTAACTGGGAGTGAGGAGTTAGCTAAAGCTAGAACTAGTGTCCCTATAAGCTAAACTAAACGGGTGTGTTTTTAGTCAAGATTTGAATATTGAGAGTGAGCCTGAATCCCACATATCCGGTGGAAGACCATTCTACAGCTGAGGAGCTCTATAGGAGAAAGCTCTGCAGCCTGACGTAGCTGTTTCTACCCTAGGTACTAACAGATATCCTGCGCCTTGAGAACGAAGCAAGTGCGGAGGGTTGTATGAGGTCAACAGATCACTAAGGTATTCTGGTGCAAGGCCATTCAGTGCTTTATAGGTTGGTTAATAGCAGTGTTTTATAGTCGATCCGAGACTTAACTGGAACCCAATGAAGGGAGGATAAGACAGGTGTAATACGATCAAATTTTTTTAGTGTTTGTTTGAACTCTGGCTGCTGCATTCTGTACCAGCTGAAGTTTATGTAAGGATCCAGACCGACAACCAGAAAGGAGGGCATTACAGTAGTCCAGTCTGGAAGTTACAAAGGCATGTATTAATTTTTCTGCATCATGAAATGAGAGCATCTTCTGAAGCTTGGCTATGTTCCGTAGATGATAAAACGCAGTTCTAGTAATGCTTCTTATGTGAGCATCAAAACATAGATCTGAATCAACTAGAAGACCAATATTTCTAACCACTGGTGTAGGATGGCCACCAATGTTGAGGTGGTGAAATTTATTTCTTGCAGCCTTGGGACCATTTAGCAGTACTGCTTTTTTTCTGTGTTTAACATAAGGAAATTTTTTGCCATCCAGCACCGGATATCTAATAGACAGTCTTCTAACCGAGAGAGCAGTGATGTATCATCAGGGTTAACATATATATATAACTGTGTATCATCTGCATAGCAATGAAACCCAACACCATGATTTTTAATAATGTTATCAAGAGGTAGCGCATATAAGGTAAACAGTAGCGGGCCCAGTACTGATCCCTGTGGGACACCATATTTGACTTTGGCGGCCTTGGAAGGTTCATTGTTCACATGGGCATACTGATAGCGATCATTTAAATAAGAGCGGAACCAAGAGAGAGCCAACCACACCTTCTAACCGATCCAAGAGGATATTATGGTCCACAGTATCGAATGTTGCAGTTAAATCTAGTAATACCAATAAAGATATACAGCCACGGTCAGAAGCCGTAAGTAAATCATTCATTACTTTGACTATAGCGGTCTCTGTGCTATGGTTTGGTCTAAAGCCAGACTGATATAATTCATTACTATTATTTTTCTGTAGGAAAGAAGACAACTAACGAACTACAACCTTTACCATGATCTTTGAAATGAAAGGAAGATTTGAATAGGTCTATAATTTCCTAAAACACTAGGTTCAAGATTTGGTTTCTTTAGGATGGGTCTAATAACAGCCATTTTAAAAGGTTTTGGAACATATCCAAGCCTAAGAGATGAGTTTAACACATTAAACAGGGTAGTGCTAATCTGCCGTATAATTTCCTTGAAGAATTTTGTAGGAATTGGGTCTACGAGGCTAGTAGAGGATTTACAGGAGAAGACTAAGCTCAAAAGTTCTGAGTGTTTTATAGGAAGGAAAGATTCAAAGTTCTCATTATTGCTAGGCAAAAGACTAGCTGGAGGCTGGCAGCCGTAAGTAGCTAAGGACGTGTACTGGATGGTCTGTCTAATCTTAGTTATTTTACCATTAAAATGTAATAAAGTTATCACTCTTAAGAGCTTGTGGGACTTGTGAGTTTAATGAAGATTTCTGTGTTAACCTAGACAAGGATTCAAATATGAATTTAGGATTGGTTTTGTTCACGTCTATTAATCTGGAGAGATACACAGACCTAGCAGTCACTAGTGCTTGTCAGTATTTAGAGAGGCTCTCTTTTCAGGCAGATTTGAAGACTTCTAGTTTAGTTGAGTGCCATTTGCGCTCTAGCTTGCGTGATGCCTGTTTGAGTTCATGTGTATATATGATCAGAGTACCAGGGGGTAGGTTTCTTATCTCTATGCTTTATCTTCTTAAGTGGAGCTACAAGATCTAGTGTGCTACGAAGGGATTTATCCATGTTTGCAGTTGCCTGTTCAAGTTCATTTACACACAATGCTTCAGATGTAAGGCTGAATGACTGTGGAAGTTGTTTCATAAATGTTGTAGTTAGTGAGGCAATGGAACGTCTGATTCTGTACTTTGGAGCTGTGGTCGATGGGAGGCTATACTGGATTTTAAATGTGAACAAGTAATGATCTGAAAGCAGAAGACTCTGAGGTATAATAGATACATGTTCCACCAGGATGCCATGACTAATAATCAATTCAAGGGTATGGTTACAGGCATGAGTAGGCCTGACTACATTCTGACATACACCTATAGAGTCAAGAATAGTTACAAACACTATTTTTAAAGGATCACTTTCTTTCTCCATTTAACTGTTAAAATCACCAACAATAACAGCTATGTCAGTACTGGCCACCAGGTTTGATAAAAAATCAGCAAACTCCATAAGAAAATTACTGTATGGCCCAGGTGGTCTATTCACAATAACAATGGTGATTTGGGCTGAAGAGCTATGAAGAGATGAGCCAGCAAGGGTAAGAACAAGAGTTTCAAATGTGCTGAAGCTCAAACTACATTTCTCAGACACTCCTAGGTTGGATTGAAAAATTGCAGCAACACCACCACCTTTGCGATTTGGTTGAGGGTTATGCTTATAACTGTATTCAGCTGGAGTAGATTCATTTAGTGACATTAATTCTTTTGGTTTAAGCCAGGTCTTAGTAAGGCATAGGGCACTAAGACTAAAATCAGTAATTATTTCATTTATTAATAGTGCATTAGGAGCCGGTGATCCTACATTGAGAAGTCCAAGTTTAAGTTTCAGCCTTGCATCACAGCTGTTTTCTAGTAATGGATTCATTGTAATTTTTATTAAGTTATTATGGCACACATTATGGTGGAATAGGCTTCCATGATTAAAAACACGGGGAACAGACACAGTCCCAATAACATGAACCCTAGGTGATGACTAGCGACTAGCAGGTGGTCAGTTATGTCGGTTTGCCTCCCACCTGGGCTTGGCTCTAGTTAGTCAGCGATCTGCCTCGAAGTTATGAGCTATGCTTTTAGACGGGAGGTCAGCACCAGCCCGCGAGGGGTGAATACCGTCCCTCTTCAAAAGCCCAGGCCTACCCCAAAACGTCCTCCAGTTGTCTATATAACCCACACCATTTATCGCGCACCATTCCGACAGCCAGCGATGTACAGTAGCGACGATAATCTGCTGTACATTTCATTGCCACGTCTAGCAGGGATGGGGCCAGAGCACGTCACTGACACAT